CACACACACACACACACACACACACACACACACACACACACACACACACACACACACACACACACTTTTCTCTCTCCTTTAGATACAAAGACCATCAACTTGAGAGTCTGACACAGACCTTAACCTGCACTTTCTCACACTCTCTCCCACATACAAGCACACTGAGTTAAGGTTTGTTCTAACATTTCGTGTTTCTAGTTGTGTTTTGGATTCATTAGCAGTGACACAAGGAGACACTTTAAAGAGTGTAGACCATTTTTGTTTGGCTGATTAAAACAGCAGAAATGTGCATTATCTCTAATTAAGAAATGCCAGTCCTGGAACAAACGCTTTTCAGTGTTACAGACAAACTAGACACAAACTCAGTGAGGTCACACCTTGATGTTGCCAAAGAATATAATGTGTTTAATATTACGATACATTTTCTGTCATGACTCGTGAAAATAGTAAGTTCAGTCACATGAACATCAGTTTCACGCCAACAACTAAAAGGTGGAGTGATGTCCACACTGTAAATATCCACAAGGAACATAACGAGAAATACTCAAGGTAGTTGGTGTGGTGGCTTATTAGATTACTGGACTGTTGATTTTCCTAAACTCACCACATTCTGTCCAGTCAAACAAGTTAGCCATCCTTTAAATTTAGTGGGGGTTTTTTTTTTGGTTTTTTTTTTTAAACTGATCATTTGACACATTATTTAATATTGCATCATGTATTAAGGTATAAGGGGACATTTTAAGTGCATTAATTGCTACATTTAAGTTAATTTCCTAATAGGGAGCGACAGTTTTGACTTTTCAGTGCCATGAAGTATTTAATGGACCATCCTGACCTTTATAAGTAATCATGCTGTTTCTCAATTTCTGTTTTAACTTCACAGTTGTGTTCTCCACAAAATCACACACAATTCCTTTAAAGACTTCACAGAGACACTTTTTACAGTGAAATTAGTAAAGAAAGAATTTTTAGACACCTTTAAAAATGAACAGCAATACAAATAAATTATCTTCTTAGTGAGATTTGTTAATTACAGTTGAACTCAAGCACAACAGACATTTTTTTTCATATCAGAAGAAACAGGAAATCACAAAAAAAAAAAATTTAACTCATGTGGTAGCTTGTCTTAATTCTGCTTATATGTAGCCCCCAGAGATCAGTTTTGAGCCAGGAATCACGCTGACTAACTGTACCTAACTGACTGTTTATTTATTTTTGTCAGACAGGTTATTTTTATCATGCTGCCCTTCTTATAAGTTGATCCACTTCACTCTAAGCCCTGGTTATGAAAGCAAGAGCAGGAAAAACACAAGTTTTTTTTTTATGATTTATGATGATAATTTAATCTGGATTAAACACAAACTAAATGGATCAGCACCAGAAAACTCCAAAAACAATCTGTGAGTGTTCAGTAAAGTCCTTCACAAAAACCTCATAAGTGCAGTGTTTTGTCCAGTACCAGCGCACACGTTCCTGTACTCATCGGCATTTCTTCACAGATTTTCCTCTCTATGGCTTTCACACACACTTTCCTCTTCTCAAATAACCATGCTCATCAGGGCCCAAAGGGGCATCCATTTTTCAGTGTTGCCATGACAATCCCAGCGAGGAGGGGTGTTTAGTTTGACTGGTGCAGTCACGTTGATAAATGACCCTCTTATTGCTGGCTGTCGCCCAGGGATTACTGTATACACTCTCTCTCCCTCTTTTGCTCCCTCACACACACAATCACGCGACTCTCTTTCCCCCAGTGGCTAGCTGTCCAGCTGATACACACACTCAGATCACTTTACATGCTAATTGGCCGACAAGACCTTTAACAAATAGCTGTCTAATGAGTCGTTCCTCTCCACGGCAGGGCAGGGTCTTCCTGAGTCTACATAACCACGTGATGGGAAGAATGCGGAATAAAGACGCAACTCAGGGGTCAAAAGGTCACATTGGCTATGTATAGAAAGCCTGATTGATTGAAATAAGAGCATAATACCCATTTCAGACAGTGGCACAGGTTAAACCAACAACCCTATTGATCAGATTGCATTAGTGAAGCCGAGTCGGAAGCTGTCCAGGTTATCCCACCTCCAGTAAAACAATTGGGTTCCTTCCAAAGAAAATAGATGTAAAACGTTGAGTCTGGAAGTCAAAGACTGAAAAACTAAACATCAAAGTGTCTTTGTTTTACTCTGGTTATAGATCCCACCATGAGTATCTATCAGAGTTTCTGTCCAACACAAAATCTCTATGGAAAGTAAAAAACAGTGTGTTCCATATATTATCCAGAGCACCAGTGTCATTTACACATTTATGCATATAAGTATATAAATCACAACAACAGTTGCCTCAACATGCTTTACATTTGAAGATAAAAACTCTACAGCTGCATTCATTTCCACATTACCAAGCTGGTGGCAGAATTTATATTATTACCCATTTCTGCTCATCTAAATGAACCTGTGCCACATTCATGGCAATAAAATTATGTGAAATTTTTCAGTTTCACCACTGTGTCAGTTACTCTCACCCTGCAGAGCACCATCTAATATCTCACCATCTCACATAAATAGAAAAATGGGCAAGTGTGTCTACAGGCTCACAGTTTTTTCCAGGCCATTTCTCTTTGACCGAGAGCCCAAGCCCCCATTCCCGATCATAAAGCTATTAGCCTTAGAGGGGAAAACATCCTCCACGCTACAGTAAACCAGAGAGGACCAAGGATAATGTATCTCTCTGCTGGCACCCCTGAAAGTCATCAATTATTCATACACAGGCACTCAACAACCTGAAATAAACACATACACTCACCATATACAAACACATACATGTTCACCAGGCACTGAGACAACCAGTCAATTCATACCTTCAGAGGCGGAGAGAAACAGATTAAGTACCTCCTAATTTATTTGTCCTCACTGCGGCGGAGTTTGTGTTTGCTGATACTGGAGCATTGCTTTGCATCCATGGGTCCACTGTTGAGGTGCATTGTGCTTATTTGCACCAATAATTGCCAAAAAAGGCAGACCACAAACCTGATGTCAGAAATTAATATTTGACTGTACCATAGAGTCATAGCAGAGGCAGTTCATCAAAGGCAAAAACAAGGTGATAATTTGCACCATGTAGCATTCACACACGAGGCACCGAGCACAAGACGGCATTAGCAAAGATATGCAGCAATATTTTACCAGCAGTCATTATTTTCTACTGCATTAGAAGATAAACCCTACCATGGTGTTTCACAGGCTGTTGTAAAACAGACACTTCTAGACATTTTTATAAACCTAAGAAACCAACAACTAAACCACAATCACTCGAGGAAGGTTTGTACAGCATGTAAGTATGTAAGGGTCGTTATAATTTGGTTTCATCAAAATCGGATCAGTAGGTCAGCCCTGACACTCTATTAAAGCTAAAAATACATACTTTTAATTACAGAGGCCTAAACGATAGATTTGGTCTGAAAATACAGTGCAGATTATGACTTGCAAGCCAGGAGCATAGGACAAATTTTCAGATTTATCAAATTTCTTCCTGTGCTTATTTTTCAGGTGCCTCGATATTGAGCAAATCTGTAAATTTTAATGTGATGTGGGCCAGCACATCATTACCACTGCCTACCATTTGTGCACTGACTGCATTAGACTGAGGTATGTGTGCAGCGCTCAGGAGAACTCTTTATCACTGCTTTCCTTCCACAGTGCATTTGCCCTACTGAAAGGAAACCCACTAAAAAATTAAGACATGATATTATAGTAAATAAAAAGAGAAACAGAAGAAAATGGATTAAAAACAAGTCCCGGGGAAGAGAAGAAGTTTTTTGAAGTTTTACGATACATCCTTTTTGAAAAGATGTAGATTTTTAAAAAAAAAAGTTAAACATATAACTGGAAAAATGAGATGTGGAGAAATGATGCTGCTGAGCAGCAACTGAATCCTGAAACTCAAGTGGATCAATCATGTGTGCATGTTCTCTGAGGTTAAACAAGCAACAGATGAAGAGAGACACCACAACAGAATATACACTGACACAAACAAGAAATAATATGAAACGCGTACTGTGAAATGCCTCAAAAGAGTGGGCTATACTGATAATTAAATCATCCACTGTAGACCCTGTTCACTCTGAAACTCCATCCTTGTTTTCTCATTTTTGCCCTTTAACAATTATACACGTGAGATCATATTCCTGCAGATACTGATATGTTGACCTATAAAGCAAACCTTTACCCAAACTCACAATTAACATAGATTTAAATAGCTCCTTGTTTATTTAAGTGAAGAGCAGCTATATGCCGTCACTTTGAAGGATTCCCCTCATCCTACTATGTGTCTATACACATTTGGTCCTCGGAGATGCAGTAGAATATAAATGCATATGTACTCACAGCCTCTCAGTGCCTCTGGGGATGTTTTTGGGCACAGTGTGGATCCCCAGGCCATGGCAGTCCACCGTGTTGCTCAGGCAGCTGCAGGGAGTGGGGCACGCCTCTGCACCTCCGTGACCTGCCAACAGCACCGTAACACTCCACGCCAACACCATCTGCATCCAAGATTGAGGAGCCCGGCCTATGTCCACTGCAATCATCCCACAGCCTCCTGACCCAGCTCCATCCCCTCTTTTTCCAGCAGGCATTCTGCTCTCCTGCGGAGCTCCCCAACACTGCAGAAACCAGCCAACAGATCCTACCCTCTTCCTTCTGCCCGGGATGACTGACCAGTACTACCTCCTTAAAGAAGTGAGAACCAGCAGGAGAGTGTTTAAAGGGGCTGAGACAGCAGCATAGCCAAGTGAAGTTCAGCTCAAACTGAACGACTGCCACTTGATCCTGGAGTGGCCTTTCAGGGAAATAAAGGAGGACGGAAAAAATACGAGTATGTCCTCTTCTTCTACTTGTCACCAGCTTTAGAGCTCCCTCCAATTGGCTTCTCTTCTTCTACTCTCTCTCTCTCTCTCTCTCTCTCTCTCTCTCTCTCTCTCATGCAGCTGTACAGTGTGCTCGCCTCTCCCCTCTACTTTTCATTGAGTCATTGTGCACTGAACAGTGAGCCACTAGGAAAAAAAAGAAAAAGAAAGGGGGTGTGGAGGGGGGGACTCCCTCACTCCCTCTATCTCACACACACAGAGTAATCATCCATCAAAAGCTTTTACAAATAACAGCAGCAAGACTCCCCCCCCCCCCCCCCCAACTCCACACATACACGCATACGCACACACCAGTACCCAGAGTGACCTCACATCTATTCAGTGGCAGCAGTAGCAGGAGCCGCCACCATCACTGAAGGTGACAGCAGCCTTTCTCTCTCTCTTGCCCTCTCCTTCTTTTTGTCTATCTCGCTCGCCCACATGCGGTCTCCTCCCTTGGGGAAAAAAAAGAGCCCGAGGCTGCATGAACATGATGAGAAAGGAGAGAGGAAGAGTAAATTGTGATCACCACGAAGCACGAGAAAATATAACCGAAAAGGAGAAACTATTTGTGGAGAGGAAGAACAATAGATGTGACATAAAAGGAGAGGTTGGAAGTTATACTGCGGATTAATTGGGAATTTTATTTATTTATTTTGCCACGGCTCAGTGCCAAGACTGCACACTGAGCTGCAGGAACTTGGGTTGGTTGGGGAAAGGGGGGGGGGGGCATGACACTGGCATAACTGGAATGCCATAAGCTGCCAGAGCTTACTCAGAAGTCTATTATGAATTCACTGGCAAGGCTTTGAAATTCAAATGGAGCCTGGCAGAGTTTTTTTCCCCAGTCTCCACAGAAACCCTGGCTTCAGCTTTTTGTGATCACCATACTACCAAGGAAAAAAGGAGCGGGGAAAAAAACTATCACGGATACCGTGAAGAAAAACCACTTACAGCTGGAGATCTAAAGTAAAACCAGTGACAAGGTGTTAAATCCACAAGGAAACAGTGTTTGCTCATTTATTGATTTGTTCATTTATTGATTTGTTCTTCTAAGTTATGAATTATTTAGGTCTTCAGTTTAACAGTAAAATAAACCCCAGATTTCTACAGCAAAAAATAAATAAAAAATGTTAAAAAGGAGAAGAAGAAGTTGTTGTTAAATGTAATGTTCTGCCAATCAGCTGTATTATAAGTTAGTCTTAAATGGTTTTCAGGCACAGCATTATTGGTGCCTTATAAGAAGAAAAAATCAGTTCTTTGGCTTGTATCCCTTCTTAAATGTATTCCTGATTCACACTGTTTTATACAACAGTTTTGTGGAGTGTAGTCAGAGCTTCTCTCAGAGATAGATCTGGTTTGTTATTACTTTTCAGTGTGACTGCTAACACCCGGAGGGCACAGTTTACCCAGCTTTTTATTTACCACTATACATGAGTGATTATTGCTCGTGGCCTCACTTTGTCTTCTCCTGGCAGACTCGGAGTGACGGGTTAATTTAACCCGCTGCACTTCAGAAGTGATGGAAAACAAATTGGCCACAGGCAGAGGCCGGCTGCTTCCTTTGTGCAACTGAATTGAATGACTCATTTGGCCATATTCGGTAACAAAGAGAGGGAGACAAGATGTTGACATCTCGAGGGGGTGGTCCCCCTTATTTCTAGGGTCATAATAGCTGTCTGAGGCAGGGGTGGGTGCCGAGGCAGGGAGGGAGCTTTTACTGCAGACGCGTCTGAATTGATTTCTGGAAGTAAAGAGCAGATGCTTTTGTCTCAAAGGCATCAATTCCCAAAAGCTCTAGTGTTTTTCCCTACATGTAATGCAATTTGTCAATAAAAGTTTTAATCCTGAAAACAAGGGAAGTCTTAAATGTTGATGAAATTAGTTTACCCATTAAATTGTTTGGTAAATCTGATAAATTAGAGAACACATACTGCACAAACATTGGAAATCTAAATCAATGTATGAATATGTGGTGGTATAAATGATGCAGTCCCCAAAACATTCACATAAAACTCACAGGTGAAGCAACATCAGCTATTTCATTACAACGTGATGTTCAGGTGGGTCAACAAAACTGCTCAGAAATGACAGGAAACAAAGGCAAATTTCCCCGAATCTATGTCTTGATGCATGCTCAGTCATCCAGCGAAGCAAATCCCAAAAGGTTGATTCTGCTCATCTGGACGTAGCGTTTTCAGTGGGAGAAACATTTCATCACTCATCCAAGTGACTTCTTCAGTCTCACGTAAATGGTTGGGAAAACCATTTACGTGAAAAGGGAAAGACCATCTCTGAAGCGAGGAAGTGGCCTAAGGGTGCATCTTTCGCCATCTTACAATGCTGTGATTGCAGCCATTCCCCAACTCTCTGTGAATGGTACTCATGGCCATGGAGCAATGGTCTTTGATCAGTGGTTGTTGATCAATGGTCATGACAATTTGCATATTAATGATCAAGGAACTGACCTCACAGCCCATTGTTCATTTAGTGGTCTAGCTTCAGTCATTTTGCAAATATACTGTTTATAAGATTGGGGAAACCTGCAGTCAGCTGAGACTAAAGAAGTCACCTGGATGAGTGACGAAACGTTTCTCCCACTGAAACCGTCCAGATGAGCAGAATCTAGTTCGACTGAGCCAAAAGATACACTGCCAAAGTCCTGGTGTCAGGAAACAGGACAGGACCCCCAGCAGTCCCATATCCAAACTGTGTGGACTGCACATCAGGGACATGAACAACATAGGCAGGCGGTCGTGATATTCTGACTCATCTGTGTGCAGGACTAAAGGAGCACACTGCGCAGTTAACGAAATATGTGCAAACAGGAAATCCTTCTACTATAAAACTGCATTAAAACATCTTTTGAAGATGGCACTGAGAATTTTGTATTTCAATTTGTCGTAATCTTCAATCACAAATCTGTATTTGTAATTAATAGAATAATTACTGCAGGTATAAGCTTGGTTAGTTTTCCATACTAAAATTTTGTTTAGTTCATCTTATGTTAAAGAGCAATCTCATGGGAAATATGGGCTTACGTTTACTTATTGATAACAACAACGGATTACCGAGTACGCTGAGGGCAGGAAGTGAAATATACTAGGTAATACTGCCATGAAAAAACTGTTCATGGCAACAGTGAACAATATGTAACAAGCTAAAGTGTATTTGTATGTAAAAAAAAACCTTAACTGGCTCATGAGTCCTTCCAAGACACAAGAAGCTATTATAATGTCATTAATCTGAAAACACAGTTGGAGACAGACATCTGCATTATTCAACAGCACCCTTCAGTGGGCAAATACTGTCACTGCATTTAAGGGTGCTGTGTGTTTGCTGCTGGGCAACGAAGGCTTCAATTTCAGATTCAATCCAGCCTGAAACTGAAACACTAATTGAAACATTAACTCTGACAAGTTTTCTGTAGAAAACAGAGGTTTTAATGCAAAGTGGATAACCCGCCAAGGAACCCACTGTACACACTTAGCTTATTTTACACTAAAATACAAAAACAATCAGGTTACCACAGTTTACACCACATGATACAACAATAGTCATGGATTAGTTAGCGCTTGGACAACTGAGAAAACTTAACCCAATAATGAATTCAGTAGGAAAAGGTAACCTGTTACCATGTGTGTGTGTTTGCCCCCACCCCATTACAAAGGAATAAGGTGCACACGAACTTCTGGAGTAAAAACTAAAGCTCCACCCACTTTAGTAAAACCTGGATTTATCAGTGTTCCAGCTTTCTCACAGCACACAAAGAACTCATCAGTGACCATGCACCGCAAGCAAGCAGTCAACTAAATGTTTCACATGTATTATCTAACAGACACGCAACACTGAGACTTAAAACATCTATTGTGTTGTGTTTCACATATAAAACAGTTTCACATCATAAAGACGGTCTTCCAACACAGAGAGGCATATTTGAAAGCAAAACAAACAAGCAAAAATTTAAAAAATTCAATGGAGTTCTCCCCTTAAACTGTAGAAAAGTGAAAAGGAAATTTAGTCTCTAAAAACTGTTAATTCTATAAAGCAAAGAGAAGGCAAGGTTTCAGTGTCCATCAGTAATGTTCAACAGTTCATACACTTTCATCAAACCCCATTGTAACAACATCCACGGTACTTTCAAAACAAGATACAGCAGAAACAGCTTTCAAACACCTTTTTTTTTTTTTAAATTTTAAACCAGCACTTGTAATTTAAAAAATCTAGTAATGTAATCTGAAAATCTGGAACTGTTGTGCTCGTACTCACAATACAATGAACTGAGCAGTTAAGCTGATCTCCTTTTGTCTCGACAGATCAGAGAATAAACAATAAAAGGAACATAACTTATGCACTCAAATAAAAGGCAAAGCAAATAACATTACTTATTGCCTGTGTATGTCCGATCTTTGAACACTGACCAACGCTTTTTAAGAGTTTCTAGGAAGATAGATTGCTTAAATTTTACTTTTAACTTTTGTGTGAGTTATAGTTAAGTTATGTGTGTTATGACATCACAAACAGATTTTTAAAAATATTCTGAAGACGAACATGTTTACAGACTCGTTGGTGCTAAAATAAATAAATCATCTTTAAATCACACTTATGTGCTGGCACGTGACTGCAAGCAGTCTTATGTTTTAGCATTTTGTGATATTAAAATGGTAAAGAAATGAACTGTAGCTGCTTTCTTACTGTAATAAGAGTCATAGTGGAGTAAGTACTTTCCCAAGAGTAGGCCAAAGACACTAAACCCATTACAATAAGAACCTGACTGTAAAAGATTACTACTCATCTTAATCAGAATAACCTTAAAAAAATAATAAAAACAAGCAAACAAAGCCAAAACCTCCATCCTTTCAACTTTCCTTACACCAACAAATCTTTGACCACCTTTACTAAAAGACGCTGTGCAAATATTTTATTTTGAAAGTTTAGTGACTGCTCAGCAGTTCCCATGTTTCCCTCCCTGCAAACTGTGGATTTTGGGTCTGTCTGCAGCAGGAGACCACCACACTGACAAGTGTAGGAAAACACAAGATGAAGCAAGCAGCATCTGGACTTTCAAGTTAATAGAATTAGTATAGCACCTTTAAGAAAAAGAACCTGCCACAATATATAT